ATATATATATATATATATATATATATATATATATATATATATATATAAATATACTGAAGACAACAATTTTCTACTGTATTTTCTCAGCTGGCGATCACGTCAAATTCAACTTTCCAATGGCCTACGCTGTCACAGCACAAGCCTGGGGTTTCCTGGAGTTTGCTGACGCCTACAAAGCTGCAGGTCAAGAAGATTACTTGGTCGATGGAATCAAATGGGCTCTGGATTACTTAATTAAATGTCACACTGGGCCAGAGGAACTTTATGTTCAGGTGGGTTCCCCAGTCTATGGTAAAATTATTTGTAAAGATTACTGTCAGCAGAGAGGAAACGGTGAATGAAAAAGATATCTCTGATGTGCCATTTGTTTCTTGAATTGCTATAACGTCCAGTGTAAGGTAACATAGGTGTTGGCGAATGCAGCTCATGCTTATTATCTCCCAGCGAACGACAATCTCACAGTAAGTGCATGCCAAACCATTTTACAGAATTCCCCTTTGTCTTACAGCCTATGCCGTGGTGTTGTCTTTTCACAACCTTATCTTGTGTACTTTTAATCACTTCCAACAAAAGAATGAACTTCCAGGCCATGGTGTCAAAATCTCCAGCATCTCTTCATCTTTTCCCCTTCAACATCACGTACTCCAGGTTTCTCCTCCACATAAGAAGACTGAAGAATATAGATTGTCTCCTTCTGGTGTGGGCAATCAGTTCTCTTCGTGAGTCGGTTTCCTTCAGAGTATCTTCATTACTTCTTTTTTATGTCTAGGACATTCTCATCATTCGCCGGCAAAACTACATCCTCTCTGCTTCCACCTGAGTGTACATATTATCTACGTATATGTTAAACATGACCCATCAATTAAAAAGAAAACAGGGCCACAACAATATGTCAATACGAAGTATCTGACCACTTTCTCGTCGGCAGTGACTTCAGCCACTGAAATAGAAGTCTTTAAGAAGTCCCATTTTCCCACTTAGTCAACATTTCATCGGCAACCGGGTCACTCCCTGACTCGGTAGACGACTTCGTCGAAGGTTGGGACAGTATTTGGGTCTGTCACCTTTGAAGAAGAAGAAGAAAATTTCCATACTGTTTTATCTTTGCTTTCCAGTCCTTATTCGTCTGTGTATTTAATTCTTTGTCTTTATTTATATAATTCTCTTTTCAGTTTACAGATATTTTCCATGCTTTGTGTGTATTTGGTTTTCACACTTTACTTTCGTGTCAACTGTTTGATACTGATTTCTATGCTACATTTGTGCAAGAACTGCGTCGTTCGGCTTTGTTTTCAATGCTTTGTTGTATTTCGTTAAACCTATAACTTGACCTGTTTCTGATGTTCTTTCTCTGTGCTTGGTTTAATGCTTTATCTGTCTTTGGTTTTTAGTGGTTTTTCAACTGACCACAAATGACGTCATAAGACAGTCCAATATTTTAGAGAATATTAAGAGCGGGTTTTCCGTGGTTTCTGTGCTTTAGTGCGTTTCTTTAAAGGCCAAGATTTTCGCACGTTTACCTAACCCTAACCAAAACTATACGCTCAGTCTACCACCCCCTGAAATATTTGACTGTCCCGTGACCTGTGGACTTGTTTGTGATCAGCTAATAAGAAAGTACCGTGATGTTTTATTTGTTTCCACGCAGGTTGGCGATGCAGGTCAGGACCATGGTTTCTGGGGACCCCCGGAGATGATGACTATGGCACGGCCAGCTTATAAAGTTACGGCGTCGAAACCCGGTAGTGATATTGTCATGGAAACTGCAGCCGCAATGGCTGCTAGTTATCTGATATTTAAGAGCAGGGGTGAGTGTTTGCATCGTGTTAATTCTATTATTGATATACATGTTTGTGTGCGTTTTTTTTTTCTTTTAGTTTAAAATTGATCCCATGTTTCTTGCTCTAACGGTAAAATAAAGGACCCTTTTACACTCCTTAAGGCGTATTGGGCATTTATTTCATAGACCAGTGGGCACTTTTTAGGTAATGTAATCAGCATCACACCGGTCGCTTCTACATCTCAGGACTTTACCAGGTACCCACTCAAGGCTGGGTCGACCTCAGTGCCAAGGTCATTTTTTGAGGGGGGAACAAAAATCCCGGCTTCGTCGGCATTTTTTAACTATCAGAAATTGTAAAACATTGTGAACCTCTGTAGTCATCGAAAGAAAAAAAAAACAAGATAAAGAATAAATTCCAGGTATCGATTGGCACGGTCCCTGTCTGGATTTTAGGACCCATTTTTGTGTGGTAGAGGTGAGTAGGGTGGATTGGGGGGAGACCAACTAGCCTTGCTAAGCATTTTGTAACAGGCAACTAGCTGGTTGAGTCCTTCGAAGTCTGAGTGCATTTGACTGAGAGACGAGGAACCAAGAACTGTTTTCAAATAAATAAGCCAGATATATAAAATGAATATGCGGGCAAAACTCAAGTTCTAGAATAAGACCAAATTAGGTCCAGAACAACCAGAAATGTCTGCATGCGTTTACAGGCTATAAACGCTAAGAATATTAATAACAAGAATACTGGCACATTATTCTCTTTTTCTACAACTGAGAGTAATCAATCATTAACTGTAGATGTATTGTCCACGTTCTCTAGCAGTCTTTTTTTTCTATCCCCAAAGCTAGACATTAGAAATACATAGAATGCGTCTGAGAATAACTAATCACCATCACAATGTTTATTTACCACTACAGATCCAACATATGCTGCAACACTTCTATCTCACGCTAAAGAGCTCTGGGAGTTCGGCAATAAATACCACGGAAGATATACGGACTCTGTTTCTGCAGCTTCTGGCTTTTACACGTAAGTTCTTTTCATAGAAGTAGAACGGAGCACTTATGGGTTACTACCCTTGTGCCTTGATATTGATCCGTTGTATAAACAATATAAACCCTAAAACTTTCAGTTAAATTGTGTATCACCAAACCTCAGTACCCCTTGAAGACTGGATTATGTCAGAGGAAAAGTAAAAGAGAATAAGGGACAGAAGGATTTATGTTGAGGGAAGATGCAGGAATAAGGGACAGAGGGATATATATTGAGGGAAGATGCAGGAATAAGGGACAGAAGGATATATGTTGAGGGAAGATGCAGGAATAAGGGACAGAAGGATATCTGTTGAGGGAAGATGCAGGAGAGTTTGGTACATTCGCATGGAAGATCCTTTGTTTGGAAACTGAGTGAATGTATACGAGACAGAAGACTGGACAGACATGACAATCAACACCACCTAGCACGTGCCATAAGAAGAAGATAAGTCTCAGAGTGAATATTGCATCTGAAAGAGTCAAACATTCAAGCACTATAGACTACGACACACGAAGTAGGGTGATCAGTTCCCTTACTCGCTGTCTTTCATTCTCAGAACATTCAGGAAACCATCTGGTACCCATTTCAGAGGCTGGATCGACTCCAGATCAGCACTGGTCAAAAAGACTCCTGCCACAGCTGGGGAATTCTGTTTTTGTTTTAACAACGGATTAATATCATGGTAGGAGGGTGCTCCGTTCTACTTTCTAACTCAAGCCTGAGCTCGATTAATCTCAGCACCGACAAGGACCATAAAAGGGTGTTTTTTTTTTTTTTAGGTGAGCAAAGATACACATTGCGATGCTGGGGAATTCAACCAGCATGACAGACAACCACACTGGATTCAGTGCCCCCAGGTTACAATTTTTCGCGTCCTTACCCAGGCTGGGCTGCAGGTTTCATCTGGCCGTACAGTTATAATAACTTCTTTGGGGTTGAATGGGATATCTGGGATCTGGCCTAGATTAAAATTACACGTATCTCAGCTGGTAGACCTTCATGTAGCTGCTCGGAGGGGACAGACCGATTGAATTTGCTGACTTGAATGTCCACAAATACTTGCATTTATTGACATTTTGCAGCTCCAACAATTTCACAGACGAGCTGAGCTGGGGATCTCTCTGGCTACACCGGGCAACAAATGACGCCAAGTATCTGGCTGAAGCTGAGAGATGGTTTGACCCAGACCCGCCTGGGGTCAGTCATGGGATGAGAAAATTGTTGGAAACCAGGTGAGTGTTGTATTAAATGCTATACATGCACCCTGTTCTTAGATAAAGGTATATCCTTAGTGAGTTGAGTTGAGCTGGGCTGAGTCAGGAATTGGCATCACAGCAACGGGTTTCTTACCGATGGTACCGGTCACAATATGGTTATATGTCCGTCTTGCATTTCCTCTGAGTGTGGTGAGCCGTCCAGACCCTCTTCTGCTGCCTCATTCTCCCCAGGCCATAATAATCTTATTTCTCTACTGATTTCGTTGCTTGTTCATAAAGGGCCTTGACCACATCAGCATCCTTAGCGAAATTATGGAGATTATCAATAAGTAATACAGAGTATGCCAGTCATCTACTGACATTCTTACTAGATTGTAAGAGAAAGGGGTACATTCTAGTGACTAATTTCACACGATAAATAAATTCTAGTTATTATAGAATTATACCCATAGATAACATAGGTGACAATTAAACATAGTAGGGCGCTTAAGACAATGTAACCTTGCTTACATTACGTAAATTAGTTTTTTTAAAAGGAGAATCTAAAGATACAAAACAATTCAGCGAGAATAGACAACGAGACAGACAAAGACGGTGAAGAGATCATATTCAGACAGAAATAGAAACACTTTATAAAGGGAAGTTTAGTACGCCGTACTGGACTCGAGTACCTGTTTTATTCTCATCCTTTAAATATTAATTCTAGAGACCGCAATCCTGAAAATAAAGGAAAGATTTAAAAAAAAAAGTTTTTTCTGTATTATTTAAATTTGTTTCTTTATCGCAGATTCTTTTGTTCCAAGCTACTAAAGATGAGAAATACAAAACAGCCGTTGAGAACACCTTTAAAAGCTGGTTTCCTGGAGGAAAAGTGCCATATACTCCCAAGGGCCTGGCTTTTAGACTGCAGTGGGGGTCTTTGAGATACTCTTGTAAGTAACTTCGTCATTTTGGGTTTTAAATTGAGGTTGGCGACCCATAGCATAGTAGTGAATTCCGGCATTATAATACCATGCTTTTCTTGTGTAGTAGGAATCAGTTATACCACTGCCGGCTTGCTAGGCCCGTTTCGTGGCATGGGAGGGGGGGGGGGGGGAGGGGGGGAAATCTGACTGGCTGGTACCCGTCTCCTGCCAGGTGAGCCAGTACCCGTCTCTTGCCAGGTGAGCCATTGCCCCTTTAGCCTAAAACCTCGCGAGAGAGGCGGATAAATGCCCTAGCAGAAACCTGCAAAAAGATGAACAAATCCATCACTCAAGACATCCGAAATGCGCAAGACAAATACAAAACCAGGACACTGGGCTACAACCTAGTAACAGTGAGACAAAAAAGAAGAAGAAGAAGAAGAAGATAATTTCATGCTTTTGTTAGTTACTTCTCATTAAAAATCTGAGTTGGAAAGGGATATTTTAATCATGGAATTAAAAAAAAGAAAAGAAATATAAAAAATCAGAAATTAGAGATGAATAGTGTTTTTTGTTGAAAGTAAAGGCATAACCAACGCCGATTTTAATTTGAGAACATTTACTAAAAGAACGATTGAAAGGAACATATATTTACATGTGTTTTTATTTACTACACTCAGGCATTAGGTAAGGTGAAGCGTTTCAGTGATCAACGTTACCTTTTTAAAAGTCTTTATATGAAACAGTAACTATGAAAGTAAGAATACAATTAATTAGATAGTTTCGACCACCCTGCGGCATTATTGCTAGAGGTTAGTCAATCTGTTTGACAATTTTATGATTTGTGACATATCAGAGTTTGATTCCTATCCACAACGGTTCTCAAACTGTATGTCGCGACCTCTTTGGTGGTCGTACGACCCTTTCACATTAATCGCATAAGACCATCGGAAAACACATTCAATGAATTCATGAAGAAGCAACACATTAATTTAATGGGTGGGGGTCACCACAACATGAGGAACTGTATTAAAGGGTCGCAGCATTAGGAAGGTTGAGAACCACTGCCTCAGCTCGTGGTTTAGTTTAAAAAAAAACACAGAATATCTTTATCGTGTCATTTGGTCAGAGGTATAAAAAGTCGCACCGTGGGAAAGACTGTTCACCACGTAATATTCCTAGTCATCAGTAGGTGCACTGCAAGCATCATATCTTCTGGAGATTGCACACATTTGGCTACTTCAATTTTAATTCATTCAAAACAAAAAAACTCAGAGGTTTCCACGGATAGTCGAAGCACATCCCGTTATATCAAATTTTTTTTTTGGCGGTTTTTTTTTTCTGTTTTATTTTCATAACTTATGTTTTGATAACCTTGACCATAAACCCTAACCCTAAACCTTTTATCCAGCCTTAAATCTTAATGCTAATCCTAACTCTAACCCGTGTTAAATAAAGCTTATCTAATATAGCTACCCCGTATGTTTAGGGTGAATTACAATGGAAGTATCCACAATTATTTAAAATAACCAGACGAATCTCGCTTGTTCTACTCTAGCTAACATGGCTATGGCTGCCCTGATTGCTGCTGAGGCCGGAATAATGCCCACGGAGCTACGTCACTGGGCAATGTGTCAGATCCACTACGCTATCGGAGACACTGGCTTTAGTTACGTGGTTGGTTTCGGCAGCAAATCCCCACACAGCCCCCACCATAGATCCAGGTAAACATTTCCTTCTCCATATTTAACGTTTTCATACACCGTACATTTCTTGCGCCTGCTTTTATCATCCACCATGGAGGCTATCTGATCAATGCATTTTGCATTTAGTTGAAAACTTGACTTTTTCCCTTCGAGTGTTTGTCACTGGATTTTTTAAAATACTTGCAGAAGGTTTGAAGGTTTAAACAATAGGTCAACATCATGGCACACATGAGTCCGAAGAAGCTCATCACAGTGCACAGGCTCTGTAGCACCAGCGAGCATCCTGAAATTTTTAGAGTTTAGATTTTTAACTGAAAATTTTGCCCGGGCAGCACCGTTAGGATACTCTTTTCGATTTCCAACTGCACAAAGGGCGTCCGATCTAACTACCCAGACACCAGGGGGTATTACTAAAAGTCCAAGTCTACGTGAAAAAATCCAAACCCTTACTAGGGATTGAACTTGGAACCTCTAGCACCCGAGGCAACACTACGTTGCCTAACAGCCCCGGCAATTTTTTATTTTGTTTTGGCTATTGTGATTTCCTTGGCAAATTTACGTTCAGTGTATAATTAATGCAAAATAAATAAATAGATAAATAAATAAATGAATATTGTTTCTCCACAGTTCTTGCCCCAAGGCTCCAGCACCATGCGGCTCGGACGTCTTCAATAGTGGAATTCCCAACGTGCACATCTTGTACGGAGCTCTAGTTGGTGGACCCGGTGAGGCGGATGACTACAAGGACGATCGAACAAACTACGTCAACAACGAGGTGGCTTGTGACTACAATGCTGGCTTCCAAGGGGCAATTGCAGGTGGGTTGGTGTCTAAGAGATGTTCACTGAAGCAACTCTCTTTTTCCTATTTGCGTTCACAAGTCGTAAACTCCGTCAGAAAGTTCTGGTTGTTCGTCCACATCTGGAGTTTGATTTTGTTATAGAACTTGAATTTTTCGGGCATATCCATTTTACAGATCGGACTTATTTGTGGGCGAACTGTTGGTTTTCTCGCCCCCCCCCCCCCCCCCCAGGGAGATGTACTCCGACTTCTAAGAAAAAACACCTAATTAGTTGCCTCCTGAACATGCTTTGTAGGGGTGGGGCAGTGGGTCTACCCACCCGCCTACCCCCTTGACCCCCACCCCCCAATGGACCTCGGAACACACACGGGGCTTAAAGCAGCAATTAGTGTTTCTAGCTGTGATGAAATCCTCACATAGGGGATATTTAAAAAGTGACATGTGGTTTCCAGTTCTACCGAACCTAACATAAGTAACAGGAATTTGCATGGAAAGTAAAGGCCATCCAGTGCTCATTGTGTCTATTAAAAAAACCCCACAGATCAGGCAATATATTCCTGAAGTGTCAAACCATGAAAAGGGTCCTTTTTGTTTTATGCAAGCACGTACACAACAAATATATGGTACAAAAAATAATACAAATAAAACAAATAAATACAGCATTCCTACATACATGCACACACACATACATCCTACACACACACACACAGTACATACATTAAATTACAGATTACATACACACATACACCACCATACACAGACACACACAGTACACAGTGCATACAGTACATACATTAAATTACTTTAGATTACATACACACATACACACACATACACATACATACATACATACATACATACATACATACATACATACATACATACATACATACATACATACATACATACATACATACATACATACATACATACATACATACATACATACATACATACATACATACATACATAATATACATACATACATACATACATACATACATACATACATACATACATACATACACATACACACACACACACACATACATACACACATACATTACAGACATACATACATACACACATACATACATATACATACGTACGTACGTACGTACGTACATTACGTACGTACGTACGTACGTACGTACGTACGTACATACATACATACGTACATACATACATACATACATACATACATACATACATACATACTATACATACATACATACATACATACATACATACATACATACATACATACATACATACATACATACATACATACATACATACATACATACATATACATACATACATACATACATACATACATACATACATACATACATACATACATACATACATACATACATACATACATACATACATACATACATATACATACATACATACATACATACACACATACATACACATACATACATACATACACACACACACACACACACACACACACACACACACACACACACACAGACAGACAGACAGACAGACAGACAGACAGACAGACAGACAGGCAGGCAGGCAGGCAGGCAGGCAGGCAGGCAGGCAGGCAGGCAGGCAGGCAGGCAGGCAGGCAGGCAGGCAGGCATACATACATACATACATACATACATACATACATACATACATACATACATACATACATACATACATACATACATACATACATACATACATACATACATACATACATACATACATACATACATACATACATACATACATACATACATACATACATACATACAATGCATGCTTAGTTTATGTACTTAAAACAAATGTACGCATATGCATATTTACTTTCTAAATTCTTAAATGTTAGTGAGGATATTTCAACTACCAGGACCGCAAGCCACGGCTTGGGAACCTCTGGTCTGTGTGGACATGAAAGCCTTTGTTACTTACTTCATATGTAAAAGGGCTCAATAAAGAAGAAGAATGGACTTCATATGTAAACATTCAGTTACCATTTATGTCACGGGTGAAGAGAAGTGTCTGGATCTTTTCTCCGGTATGCAGGTGTGCTGGGAATTGAACAGGGGGACACTCTGGCAGGCTCTGCACAACTTGGTGGAATTTTGACACATGATAAATCACACTTAATTAAGGCGTTATGGGTGCACGTGTACAGTTGGGAACAGCAAACTGATCATCACAGTCTGAGGAAATGATGCAGCGAAGAGTGAAGAGGGAATCTGGCCGATACTCTACGGAGCACTCGGCGATACTTTTCTCAGAGAAAAGGCAAGCTGTACATAAAACCAGACTGCTACTGGTAACATTGGTAATGGAACACTGCACTGGCTGCTGGAAATGGGAACGGCGGACATATGGGAATGCACCGACTGCAGTGATGTAGATTCTTAAATCAGTTCAGCTAAGTTCATCTTACCATTGCAGCCTTACCGATCGTGCGACTTTTTTTTCAGGTCTGAAACATCTCATGCTCACTGGCGACCACCCGGAGAAGAGCGGAAACGCTGCGTGCCCCTTTACTGCGGGAGCCATAGTTGGGCGATAGGGCAGCCTGGAGACAGGACTTTTTAGATTTGAAAATAGATTAATGGTTTAGGGTATTGTAACAGATACAAGTTCAGGTTATAGATATATGTTCTGTATGTATATAATGCTGTATTTGAGAAACGAAAAGAAAAAAAAAACATGATTTATTTACTACTGTACTGTATTTCTTTCTTAGTTCTTGATTTTGAATAAAGAAGTTAAGAACATAGTGAATGTGTGCCAGCATTTATTATGATTTAGTATCGCATTCGACGTGTTTGCACATCAGGCATTCCCATGAGTGCTCAGTCCTTTGATGCAGAAGCCACTCCAAAGTACCTCTTCTGTTTGTTCCTATAAGGAGTTGGCTATAGTATCTACTGCTCTACATCGAAGACGGCATAGTCGTGCTTCACCAATCTTAACTCCTCGGTCACGCAGTGTTAGCATCAGAGATTCGCAATTATCCCCCAACCTAGTCAGTGCAGCATTGATGATATCAGCTCTGTCCACGATTTTGCCATTTGCATTGGTGTATTACTTGCCAGCTGGTCAGCTCTTTTATTACCATTTACTCCGGCGTGGCCAGGTGTGTAGTTCCAGATGAAGGTCAACTGCGACTTCCGAATGCTTTCTACCCATTCGGAGCGGAGACTATCTGTAGCGATATTCTTAAACATGTTCATAGAGTCTAAAACAATTATCGCATGTGTGGTCACTTGCTCTGCTACCCTGCGAACGCTCTGGAAGCAGCAGTTACCTCCATGGTCATCCTTGACGTGTCACAGCAATAGGACTCCCGCGAGCATCATGGACTCACGAGACAATCAGTGCTCTGGACTTCGCATACACACTCCGAAGTAGGAGTTAAATTTAAAGTTTATCATGAGACTTACGATTCTGGTGTAAAATTACTACACATTCTGGCTCCTGAGCTCACAAAATAACGAAACACAAAGATAAACATTCGTTTTCAGAAAAGAAACATAGTATCTGTCAAGTTGCCCCCTTCCCCCCCCCCCCCAAAGTGTAACCTAAGCAGTGTTAACTAGAAAGTGATGTCGCCAACTCTTTGATCCTGTTAGTGAAACACGAGTTGCGGACATAGGTCATTAGGAAACAGTATCTGTCAGCGGAATATGATTTAAGAAAGGTGACGACCGTTTTTTTTTAAATCTAATCAGCAAGTAGTAGATCAAAAGAGTGCAGGAACCTTTCTTGGCATTAATTTGTCTGCAAACAGAATCGTAGGGGTGACATGAATATACATAGATTATATACTTGCACACTTACAAACAGACACACACACGATCACACAGCAATCCACCTACACTTGCCATGGCACACAAATAAAGACATTTAAAGTTGGTAATTGCTAATTTGAGAAATCTGGAATATCTGCAATTTTTTTATGTAAATAAATGTTCAGTGAATTCCTTTCGGATAAGGTGGGCGAAAAAATATTCCTTAAAATTCGAAACTTTTTTCGGGCGGGAAATTTGCAAAAGTAGTGGTAGTGGAAGTAAAAAAAAAAAAAAAAAGAGAAGAAAGAAGAAAAACGTCCAAGTCCAAGTCCTTTTGAGAAAAAAAAAAAAAAAAAAAAAGAACAGCTCGACCAAGTTCAGACTGCTGCTAGCTAGCCCAGGCTGCCAGCAGTCTCCGCCTATATTTGTGGTCTGGGTTATTTGCGTCGCTTTCGTAACTGAATTTTAGTGTTTGTGCCATTTCTGGGCTTGATGCTTCAATCCAAATCAAACCGCTCGTCCTGTTGTCACTGGTGCATGTCTTCCTTCTTCTTTCTTGGTGTTTCCTGTTTGTTCTGTCTCCCTTTGATCTGGCTAGGCGTATCTCGAAGGAGAGCGAGCTTCCATACACAACGTCATCTTGACCACCATTTATTGTTTTAAAATTGTGAGTATTTTAATTTTGCCAAAAAGTATTGATAACAGTTTTTGAATTTGAATAGTTCCGATATGTGAAAATGTTCCGCGTGTGACCATAGTGGTCTTATAGTTGTCTTACTGTAATATGAACGCGTTAGTCATGTAATGGATCTGTGTGTGAGAGTTTATGTGGAGTCCAGTCGTCATTTGTTATTATGTAATCGGGTTGTGTTGACAGCTAAGCTCCGGTGTACGTAAATACTATATAACCGGAGCATCCAGCTCACGCTTTGAGATCCAAATGTTCGTCGATGAGAATTGCTGTGGCATGTTGGGTAACGAACTCAAGTGCTCTCTGTGGGAATGGGTTGGGGGGTTAAACTCATAGTGCATCCGAAAGAGTTAGGGAAAGGTGAGGGGAAAGGGGGTGGGAGGCCATTCAGTCATTTCTCGTCGTTGCCGTCTTGCTGGATTCTAGCGTGGCCTTTTGCCGGAACTATGTGTATCACGTTACCAACCTTTGCTATCATCCCAGTGATGGGGTGGTATTAGTGGTTATGCGTTCTAGTCCTGTCATTATCGAGTCACTTGTTTTTCCTATTTGCTGTCAGTCATATCTTGTTGTGAGTCCTGTCGGTCATGTGCATGTTGTATGCATGCTGTGAAATGGGATAGTTTTGTGTATGAATCCCCGGAGTATATGGACGCACCAAACTAGGTGTATGCGTACATGCACTCGAGTACTCATACACGCGGACAGCACTACATATTTGTACGTCCTTTCATACTTATCCGTGTATGCATACCTAATTGGCATTACGTACACACGCAAACTCTTTCATATGCGTCTACCAATGCCTGTACTTACATTCATAAAAAACGAGTAAATCCACACGTAGTGACATTCACTCTTCCATGTCTTGTGCGTTTTGTGTCGCTATGTCTGTAATTTCGTCTGGCCGTGTCACTTTTAAGTTATGTCTCGTTACTTGTATGTGACCTGTCCGGTACTGTCTCATCATGTTTTGGTGGATGGTGTGTGTTGATGACGTTCTTGCTGCGTACACACCTCATTCCATTTGTTCTCATTAATTAACAGACATGCAGAAACACAATTTATGGGCTCTTTGAGTGCACTGTCATTCATACACTCACAAATATATAAATATACACGCTCCCATATATATACACACATGCACACTCATACCCACATATACATGCATACAGTAATACATTGTTATATCCATGTACTCGTTCATCTGTACACAGCTATATTCCCACTGTCCTATCCATACGTGATTCCTTACCATCCGCCTACATACACCGAGTCTTATGTATCCATCCTATACATAAATGCACTCATACTACACGCACTCATCCTTGTGTATGTATCCATGTTCACATCCATGCACTCATCATACTTACACTACCTCCCTTACGCTAGGGTGTCCAGAGTTACCATCTGATCAGCTCCTTCTGCTGTACTGAGTAAATCCTTAATCTGGTCCTTTTAGTTTTGGTTTGTTTTAATGAGGAACTGTTTAACCAGTTTTTGGGTGTCTTTATTGCTATCTACCTTTAAACATTTGTTTGCAGTAATCTGTTGTTTGCGTTTTAGAAAATACTCCTCAATGGGTGTCCTCTCCAATTTATATTTAGTGCAGTTTATTTATAATGCTCTGTTGTATTATCTTGAAAGCAGTCCAGACAAAGTGGAGATGTAAATTTCTCTGGATGCCACCCTAACCTAGCTCTCCATAGTGGTTTGTTAGCTGGGATTTTCAGTTTGTCCCGTACCTGTATGTTAAGGCTGGGCTCTTTAAGGTTGTTGTAGGCATCTCTGCCTTTAGTGCTCCCTTGCCATTGAAGTTTTCACATTTTAATTATATGTCGTTTGATTATGCTAGTCCTTTCAGTTTTTCCGCGTCCTACATCTACTAAAACATCACATTTAGCTCCCCTTTTGGCTGCTATGTCAGCTTTTTCATTGCCTATTACACCTCAGTGTGCTGGTACCCATGCAATGGTGACTTGGCATCCTTTATTCTTGAGCTGTGTTGTTAGATTTAATATTGTTTCTTTAATATCTGGCCTACTGCTAGTTTTATGTGTTTTTAATGTCTGCACTGAGGACAATGAATCTGTCAGTATGGTAAATTTAGTTGGAGGTTTATTAATTACCATCTCTAGTGCCTTCATTATGCCGACTAGTTCTGCTGTGCATACTGCCACATGATCTGTTTTTTTATATTCTCTTTGCATATTCCACTATGGGATTATTACTCCTGCTCCTACTTCTCCTGCTTCATTCTTAGATCCGTCAGTGTATGCAACCAGATTGTCTGATCGGATCTGGTCTATGTATTCTTCTGTTTTTGTTTTGGCTTCAAATGTTTCAGTATTCTTATTAATAATGTTCAACAGACTCATGTCTGTCCTGGGCAGCTCTAGTCTCCATGGAGGGATTTGAGGGACAAACCTAACGCTTGCCTCTAGAGTCCTAGCTAAGTCCTCATCATCGTTAATTTCTAGTGCAGCGTCCCAGGCTGTATATCTCTGACCAGTCTGTCACCTAGGTGGGTAATGTTATGATAAAAAGCGTCTGAAGCTGGGTGTCTGGCATCGTTGGCCGCTTTCATCCAATAGCTATAAGTTAGTTGCTTCCTTCTGAGGTTAAGCGGTGTGATGCCTAGTGCTACCTCCATGGCCTCTCTCGATGTCCCTTTGCCAGCGGCCATGATGGAAGTCAGAGCTTGGCACTGAATCCTATCAAGTTTGCAATAGCTTGTCTCTGATGCTGATTCATTTACTACGCTTCGGTATTCCATTTTGCCCCTAACGAAAGCTTTATAAAATTGTATTAGGGTGTCCTGGTGTGCTCCCCATCCCTTTCCTTTAATCATTCTCAGCATATTATTGTACTTTGTACACTTTACTACGAGATCATTTATGTGCTTGGCCCAGGTCATTTGCTCATCCAGAATCATTGCTAGAAATTTCGTCGAACGTGTCTGCTGAACTGTTCTACCATTAATTTGGAGTCTCGTTTCTTCTGGGTCATAATTAAGCTGTCTTTTAAAGTTAAATATTATGCTTACGGTTTTGTCAATGTTGATTTTGAATCCCCATTTTCCCA